GCAGGTGATTTCTACATTCATGATGGGTTCCTTATGAAGGGGGAACAACTGTGCATCCCTTGCACCTCCCTCCGCGAAAAGATCATCAAGGATCTACATGGGGGTGGATTAGCAGGACACCTTGGAAGAGACAAAACAATTGAAGCAGTCAAGGGGTATTACTACTAGCCGAATTTAAGAAGGGATGTGACCACTATTGTGAGTAGATGCTATATCTGTCAGACAGCTAAGGGGCATTCCTACTATGATTTGAGAAGATTTGTCCATGGATTTCGTGCTAGGCTTGCCAAAGACTCCAAGAAATATGGATTCCGTCTTCGTAGTAGTTGATCGGTTCTCCAAGATGGATCACTTCCTCCCATGCAAGAAGACCGTGGATGCAACAACGACAGCCAAGCTATTTTTCAGAGAGATTGTCCGTTTACATGGGGTACCTAAGACCATCACATCGGACCGAGATACGAGGTTCTTAAGTCACTTCTAGATGACCCTTTGGAGATTATTCGACTCATCATTGAATTTCAGCAGTACAGCTCATCCATAGACAGATGGATAAATAGAGGTGGTAAATCGGACCTTAGGTAACTTGATCCGCAGTATCTGCGGGGAGAGACCGAAGCAGTGGGATTTTGCCATAGCACAAGCAAAGTATGCTTACAACAATGCAGTTCATAACTCTACAGGTAGATCCCCATTTTCCATTGTTTATATGAAGGTACCTAACCATGCGTTGGACTTAGTGAAGCTACCTAGAGTACCCGGCCTCAATACTTCTGTCGAGCAGTTGGCAGAACAGATCCAGTCCRTACAGGAAGAAGTCCAATAGAAACTGGAGCGAGCCAATGCAAAGTACAAGGTTGCAGCTGATAAGCATCRTCAACACCGAGTGTTTGACGTCAGTGATGAAGTCATGGTGTTYTTAAGGAAAGAACGCATACCTGTGGCAAAGTATAACAAGCTACAACCTCGAAAGTGCAGTCCATACAAGATCATTAAGAAAATTAACAACAATGCTTATGTCGTGGACTTACCAGATCACATGGGTATCTCCAAAACATTTAATGTTGCTGATCTTCATCGTTATTTACCGGAAGCGACACTTGAATATCCCGATCATGACTCGGGGTTGAGTTCTTTCCAAGTGGGGAAGAATGATGGAGGGCCAGCTCACGACCCACCGAACCGGCCGAACCAGCCGACGACATCTAGGGTGGAACACGCATCGGATAAGGATGCATGCAACGGATATTGGTAATGGCAGATAAGATCACGTATCCAACATGATAGTGGCTATCGGACGGTGGACGTCAAGTCCAAGTCATAGTTGTTTTAGTTGTTCTATTTTCCTAATTATTCTACAAGACTACCAAAATGTATTATAAATACTTCAGTTTCCAAGCTCAATAGACACACAAGAATTTTCTTTAGCAATTCTCTCTACTAAGGCTCTATGCCTAGCTCTTTACGTGAGGCTTCCAGTCCGAAGCCGATTCGATCGTCTGGGTGCTTGCGTAGTCAGCCCGGTCGAGCACGTCACGCTGCGTCACAAAGCAATTGAAATTTCTTCTTTAATAACTATTTTTTGAATATATTATATAATCTTTATTTACTTTTGATAATTTTTGAAAATAAATAATAAATAATTATTGATTATATTTTCACTTAAAAGTTGTGCTAATGCATGTTTTATTGTTGGATAGGAAAATTGAGTTTTTCCCATTCCATAAAACGTTAAAACTAAATTATAATTTATAAATTATAGTTAAGCATAAGATTTTTAATGAAGTTATAATTACCTCCAATATATTTCTTCATAAAACCATTAAAATATATTAGTTTAATCTATATATACCTCATTGAAGTCTTATCTTTAGTGTTATTGAWGTATTTTTATGATTTATTAAATTATTTATAGTGTTTCCAAACATATGTATGCGTATCTTAATTTTTCGCCGATACACATGTGTATCCAATGCGTATTTCGATACATTTCTTAAAAAT